TTCACAGCTGCTTGCTTGACTGCAAGCTAATGTTAAAGATCAAAGTAAATAAAATAGTGTGGATGTTATTCAGTTGTCTCTTCCCCATATTTAACGCCAAATTAGCTGCATTTAGGATTATATTTAATTATATGCTCCACTTCATGTCTTGCTTTTATTTCTTCTCTTGGCCTTGAAATTGGGTTTGCTTGAACAAAATCATGAATACTGCTTACAAAGAGGGAGGTGGGCTCCACTTAGAGAGGTCAGGTCTCTACTATGGTACTCTTGTAGTTAGTCTTCAGGGGCCACCCACTGACATTGGGGCTGAAACAGTTAGGTTTGAAAATTAAACCCAAGCAGAGTTTCACAGCAGTACTCGTAATCGTCTGTGAGAACTCGAGTTTCTCCATTCATGTATTTTCTGTGTCCTACCCTCTCCTAGTTTAGCTTGTTTCAAGAAGAGCATAAGCTAAAGAGCCACACCAGTTCAAAACAATTTAGAGTTGGGAAGAATAACAGGTCTCCTTTAAATACCCAAAATCTGAGAAACAACAACAAAACAAACACCTTTTTAAAAGCTTGCAGGGCAGACTTTTCCATTTTGTCAAGTGGCAGGGGAAAGCCAAGATACCCAAATGTTGTGTTAAATGCATCACAAGGAATGCATCAACTTAAAATTCATTGAGTCATGCAAGGAAGATATTTCAATATTTCAGGTGGTAAATGGTTTGTTAAGAGAAACTTTAAAACTCTGCAGAAAAATATCACTAAGATGATTTTTGTTTCACTCTTGATTTTAATTAGAAGTCAGGGAAGCACAAAGGTTAGACTATTCATGATCAAGCACCATCGTAGGTTTGCTCGCTTTGTTGCAAAACTCTAAATACTTCTAGGAATCGACATGTGGGTGACAAAAGAGCCAACCTTTTGTTAGGTTGTTGGCCAACATGCTTCAGGGGCCTTTGGAAGTGACTCATTTACTCTTAGTATTTTGGTGGTGGGTCACCCGTTAAACCAGCCAAACCCAACAGTTTAACTTTGTTACAAAGACCCTCATCTAAAAAAGGGGGAAATTAACCTAAAATATGCTAAGCAGTGCTCCATCCCAACATAGAGCAACCCCACCCAATACCACACTCTCCATCTTCCTTCACTGTATGGAGTCAAGACAGTCATCCTACTTGAGCACACGTGTCTGTAGTAGGTGCAAGCTTGTAAAGTACATCAGCAGTTTGGCCTCTGAGACAAGACTTCAGCACAGCATGTACATAAGTTCTCAATTCCAGGACTGAACTGGAGATTTGCTTCACAGCAAGAAACAAATAGAAGTTTTTTATTACTATTTTTACAAAGATCATTTTAATTGGGTCCAAGTAGTTAAAGATGCATTTTCTGACATATCTGAAATGAGAAAGATAATTTAGGGTGTTGATCTTATGTTAAAAGCACAACAGTAGATTAGAGAGTAAATGCCATTCTTACCTTGAGCATCCTCATGTGTTCTAATTAAGCCCATTTCCAAGCTTGATGGTTGTCTATGGGAAAAGCCCTGCCCCTAGGATAAGGCCACGTTCTGCTTTGAGGCTGAGTCTGAAGGGTATCCTGGGAGCCCTGCCTCTGGGTCTCAAACTGAAGCCTGCGCTGAGAGCCCTGCCTCTGGGTACGTGTTGGAAACCTGTACTGGGGAATTCTGTACTTGCCTCCAAGTCTGAGGCTTTCTCTGTGTGCCCTGACTTTGAGGCAGAGTACTGCTTTGGAAGGCCTGATCCTGGAATTCAACCTGGTATTGGTGGGCAGGAACCAGGGACCGAGGCCAAACCTGATACCTGGAAGCCTGGGACGGCAACGAAGCCTGGTAGTTGGGAACCCGGTGTTGTGACCTAGGCTTGTAGTTGGGAATCTGGTAATGTGACCAAGGTTTATAGCTGGGCATCTGATCATTTGACCGAGGCTTATAGGTGGGAACCTCAGAACGCAACCGGGACTGGTAATTGGGAATCTGGGAATCTGACCAGGACTGATAATTAGGAATCTGGAAATGTGACCAGGGCCGGTAGTTGGGAAGCTGGAGCTGAAGGTTGGACTGGTAACCTGAGGCCTGCTGAGGTTTTACCACATCTGCAGTTTCAGAGTCAGGATACAAAGCTGAAAACAGAAAATTTCAGATCGACGCCACAACTGAAATAGTTCTTTTGTCATTTTCTACTTAAGCTGTAGTTTGAGTCAACATGCTGTCTTACATTTTACATTTGCTTGAAGCTCCCCCACACAGAGTAGCCATGGCAGCACCGCACTAGAAAAGAATACAGGTTTAAGTAACCCTGTGTCACTTCAAATGGACATAGCCATTATATGGGGGCACAAAATAGTACCATAATAGTTTCATAGCTTCAATCAGTGACCTAAATGCATGCAGAAAGGCAGCTAGAGCCAAAAAACCAAAAAAAATCTGCTTTCCTCCTTCGGTGGTGCAGTGGTAGGAGCGGTCCAGTGCACATAATTTATCTTCTTTTGACAGCCAGTCAAAGTTCTTGCCCTCCATCTGATTGACTGGAAACAGGTGGATTGATTGCACCTGGACCAGATTCATCATGATTCACAGGTGTTGTGGGACTTTGTTGTGAAACACTTTGAACAATATCAAAGCCACAATCTTATTTCAAAATTGCCATAAAGCAAACGACACATTCTGGTTACCATCTGGTAGCTTTGCATTTATTGTTTGAGTTATTTTATAATTAAATGCTAGTGGTCACTATGCCAACCAGTTTGATTCACAGAATGGTTGTCTAAAGATCTGTGTTTGAAATTAATGGAGAAAAGATTAAAATGAGTTTTATTATTGTTAGGTAACAATAACACATCACTACTGGCAATGAAATTACTAGAATCAGAGTCAAAGCAATATTGCATGTAAAGAAGCTAATTAAAAAAACAAATATACAAAAATTAAACAAAACAAAACAAATTAATAAGAACTCAACTAAAGAAGATTGGCTTACTAAATGTATTATGCTGTTAAATGATAGGATCTGGTGACACATGGCCTAAACTAGACCAAATACAATTAACTGCGCAGATGTTCGGGGAGTTCTTTGGACACTGGACTTCATAGTGTAGCATGTAAATTGCATGATTTCACACTAACATAACCAGTTGTGCTTGTAGTGACTATTGAAACAGAAACCCCTCTGGAGACTGGCGGTCTTTATTCAATGCAGTTAAGTTTTATTTATATAGCACCAAATCCCAGCAACGGGCACCTCAAGATTAAAAATACTACAGAGGAATAATACCAATGTTCATACAACCACCTATGAGCAAGCACTTGGTGACAGTGGGAAGGAAAAACTCCCTTTTAACAGGAAGAAACCTTCAGCAGAACCAGGCTCAGGGAGGGGCGGGGCCATCTGCCACAGCTGAAGGGAGGCAGGACAAAACAATCACTAGGCTCGCCTCTTCAGCCCTCTGGCCTTTCTTGCAGGATCAACCTTTTGCTGCAGTGACTCAAGCTGCATTCACAGCTGCCTTTTTGGTGGCTTAATGTCAGTTTTCAACTGTATTTTTTAACCTTTTAATTTACTTATATATATATATACACACACACACACACACACACACACACACACACCTGAGCATTAGTGTGACTGGAAATTATATAACTTTTAAGCTGCAGCTGTCATGTGTTACTTTGTTGTTGCTTTAAAACCTTAAAATGTGACTCATTTTAAACAGGAGATACAGAAGAATTTTAACTCATTCTAATATACCATTATAGCACAAGTTATACTTCTGAGACAGCATAAAGTCATTTCAGTTAAAAGCAACTTTCTAGAAAGCAGTTCCTTAAATGATCTATCCTGACTTTTGCCATTTAAGGGAAACTGGTTTTATAGTTAAAAAAAAAAACTATTAAAATGTTCTAGTCCCAGCAGTATTTGTCTTTTAGTCCCAACATGTCCATGACAGTCAAGTTTCATGTCAGATGGTGCCACCTAATGGCAGAACATAAGCATGGACGTGTAGGAACACTGTATGCTGGATAGGAAACGGTTGATAGATTAAATGTGCTGTGAAGTTCAAAAACATGGAATGCCTCTGCTAAGGACTTGGAGCGATTGCCAAACATAATGGAATTAGTCACTGGCCTGCAGTCTCCACATCTCAAAGCAATTTAACAAGATCCACCAAAACCACGATTTGGACAAACAGCATTTCATCAGTCAAGGGAATCATCAGAGACATGCACATTTTCAGAGCTTATAATGAACAATCTTATTTCTACCACCTATGTTCTATCCATACCTCCTGGAGGATACTTAACTGATAAAGAGATGAATTTGGTCGCTTTGCTGGTTGTTGAAAAGGAACACGGGAGTTAAGCATTGCGAGTGCACTGCATGCAGCAGTTTTCCATGAAGGCCTGTTTTTTCCCCCCCTTCTTGCAGTTACCCAGTGAATTTCGATGTGCACCTGAGACTCATTTGTCTCTGGTGCACATCAAAAATTTGACTTTATCTAGTAACCAGACTGAATACTGCCCTGAATCAGTTAACAGCAATCTGGAAATAAAAAGGTGCAAAAAAGTATTCAAGATTTCATACATTTTCAGTTACATGCTGAAAAAAAAAAAAAAAAAGAAAAGAAAAGTAAACTCTGGCTCTATATGCAGAACCAATGTATAACTCTCTATTTTGTTTAAGTTTTTTTACAGTAGGGTCACCTGTAAGGTCATAATCCCAGGATTGATGTGCAGTTCCGTTTCTTTGCCTGGGTTCCCCCTTCAAAAAAAAAAAAAGAAAAAGAAAAAAAAAGTCCCAGTTGAACTGGGTCACCAGCAAAATGAAGAGCAGGTCATTACGCATCACCTGTGCTTTCAGAGCAGATCTTCTTTGCCTGCCGTAGATGCTGCACATGAATGGCTTCAGTTTGAGCTAAAAATTTGAAACATGCACCACCTGCTCTCACAACTTTGAGATATTACTATAAAGTATAAATAAGCTCGCCCACACACAGACTCATCTAGAAAGATTTATTTACATTTCCCCTAAAGATCAGTTTAATTGTATCCATGCAGTTAATGATCAATCTTCTGATGTTGGCCCTGGAATGAGAAAGATAATTAGTGGTGTTGAGCTTATGCAGGTTCTAAAGGGAAAGAGGAAAAAAAACGACAAAGTAAACACCAACTAGTTTTATGGAGTATACCTCTTCGGTTAAGCCCCTTGCAGAATCTGGTGGTTTGTGCCAGTTGCCCGGACCCAAGGCTGAAGATGAGGTCTGTGCTGGTAACGCATCATCCGAGGACGCATTTGATAGCTGCGTGCCTGTATTGGGATTTGAGTCTGATAGTAAGAATGGGCATGTGGATATGCTGGATAACTATGAGGCTGTGTCTTGGCCCGAGCATGATGACTGCGAGGCTTTAGGTGGCCCCGTGACTGAGAACTGCTAGCATGCAGCTGGTCTTGGGGCTGAGCCGGAGAACTACGAGGTTGTGGCAGTGAGTCAGCCTGATAGCCTTCAGGCTGAAAGCTGAGAGACTGCAGCTGGGTCTGGGCCTTGGGATGACCCTGGCCCTGAAAGCTGCGAGGCCGCAGCTGGGTCTGGATTTGGGCCCGAGGATGGGCATGGCCCTGAAAGCTGCTGGGCTGCATTTGGGACTTCAGCTGGGCATGGGGATGGCCCTGATTGCTGCGAGGCTGTGGCTGGGTCGGCAGCTGGGTCTCAGGATGGACTTGATGGCTACGAAGCTGGGTCTGGGGACGGACCTGGGGATGGCCATGAAAGGTACGAACCTGTGGCTGCGTCTGTACCTGGCCCTGAAAGCTGCGAGGCTGTGGCTGCGTCTGGACCTGGAGATGGCCCTGAAAGGTACGAGGCTGTGGCTGCGCCTGGGGATAAGCCTGGCCTTGAAAGCTGCGGGGCTGCAGCTGGTTCAGGGCATGGCCCTGAAAGCTATGGGGCTGTGGCTGGTGGGCATAGCCCTGAAAGCTGCGAGGCTGTGGCTGGGTCTGGCGCTGTGGCTGGGTCTTGGGATGGCCTTGATGGCTATGAGGCTGTGTCTGGATCTGGGAACTACCCTGAAAGCTGCGAGGCTGTGGCTGGGTCTGTACCTGGGGATGGCCCTGAAAGCTACGAGGCTGAAGCTGTGACTTCAGCTGAGCCTGGGGATAGCCACGATAGATGCGAGGCTGTGGCTGGTAGGAATAGCCATGAAAGCTGTGAGGCTGCAACTGGTTCTGGGGATGACCCTCAAGCTGGAATTGGGGACGGCCCTGAGGATGACCCTGAAAGTTGCGAGGCTGCAGCTGAGTCTGTGTCTGGGGTTGGCCCTGAAAGGTACGAGGCTGAGGCTGCATCTGGGTCTTGGGGTGGCCCTCAATCCTGCGAGGCTGTGGTTGGACTTGGGGACGATTCTGAAAGCTCCGAGGCTGGGTGTGGGGACGGACCTGGGGGGGACCCTGGATCTCAGGATGGCCTTGACTGCGAATCTGCAGCTGGGGATAGGCCTCAGCCCAGTAACTATGAACCTGTGGCTGAGATTGATAGCTGCGAGCCTGCACCAGGGGCTGTGACAGGGGCTGGACTTGTGGTTGAGAACCATGAGCTTGCAGCAATGGCTGGGGGAGGTAGCTGCGAGACTGGGGTTGGACCTTGGGCTGAGAGCTAGGAGCCAGAGAGCTCCGAGGCTGAGGCTGGGCCTGGTCCTGGCGCGTAGGGTGGAACCAGTGTGGCAACTGATGAAGCTGGTCACCCGAGACCTGCTTACTGGCATCAAGATTTCCAAAGCCAAGATAGGAAGCTGAAAAGAGATGAAATTTAATAGTGAACAACCATGTTTGTCATACTTAACTCAAATTCTAGCTTCACATGAGACTTACGTTTCATACTTGCTTGAAGCTCCCCAACAAGAAGTACCCATGGCAGCAACACACTAAAACAAAAACATATTTGAATAAACTATTGTGATGACATCAAATAAAATCATAAATCTCAGGAAAAGAATTATTTGAGATTACCAAAATATAAAGCTCATTGCTTTAAGCAGAAATAATATCAGGTATAAACTTGAGAAGCCCCAATCTAGCGTCTGTTAGCCCAGCACAAAACAACTACAACTCTGCTTCCCTCCTTCTGCAGCACAGTATCAGGTAGAGTCAAGGCACCCAATTTATCTTCTCTTGACAGCCAATCAAAGTTCTCGGTTCCAAAGCAACTGACAGGAAACAGACAGATTGCTTGCACCTGATGCAGATTCACTATGATACACAGGTGTTCAGAAGAGAAGAGACTTCTTTCTGAACCAGTCAATTGCTTAGTGATGCCAGTGTGTGGTGCTGAAGACGGACAAACTTTAACTTTCCAGCAGCGGCAGAGTGTGCAAAGTTTGCAGTGAAAGTATGAGAGACCTGGCCTTCTAAAGAGAGCCCCACTTGACTCCACTCACTCTGTGCAAGTGGCATGTATGATTGTGTAAAAAATTTAAATCTAACAATCTGACACCAAGATAAAAAAGAAAGATGAAGAAAAAAGAGAAAAGAGGAGAAATGAAAGCAATCGAAGCAACAAATCAGTGAGTTAGGCACATAACAATTAAATCTAATGGTAAATAGTCTATCCTTAAATGTTGGGGACACTTGAATATTAGAGCTTCCTGTAGCACGACATTATTTCTTTTCTTTACTCTGACATTGACTTAGCTAACCGAGCATCCTGTGTGATGTGACTGAGCATGCAATCTTTCTGTTGGTGTCAGATTATTTGTAACATAATGATGATGAACACAGTGATGAACCCACCGCATCCCTCTGTGGGTTTTTCCGAGATCCTGACAGAGTCTACAACAGCCACTGTATGTAAGTGGATAAAAAGCCAAACCATTCTTCTAGAGCTAAAGTTAGAAGTGCGAGTGATGTATTGACACGTATTGATATGTGAAGCTTCTCCCGCCTTAAAATTCAGTTACAACAATACATGATTTTGTACATATTTGAACAGTTTATATTTTTGTTGATGTTAAAGAATAACATAAATGAAATAAAGACAAGTGGGAGCGTTTTTTTAAGGGCTTGAATGGAACTGAAAGATAGCTGGATAACTAACTGACATAATCTTTATCCATAGAGCTCAAGGCTGTACAAATCAGGGCTGGATTGGAATCGGGCCAATTCACATTAACGTCATGTCAGCTTTAGTTCCTGTGGGTAACTTTGTCTTGGCCATTGCAATAACATCAGGAAACCAGTAGGTGGCGCTCAGCATATGCAATTCCCACTCAAACTGAACTGGAGTTTAAATCTCATTGGGAAGGAAAGTGGCCTGGTTCTTGTATAGTGACTTTCAACACTGGTACTCAGAGCACTTTATACAGCATGTCTCATTCACCCGTTCATATGATTTTTTTTTAGTTCTACGTTTAAACGCTTTCTGTCTAACATTCACATTTAAATGCATCAAGCAACTCGAGGACCAGTATCTTACCCAAGGGTACTTTGGCATGCACAGTGGATCAGCAAGGGATTGAACTACCACCCTTGCAGTTAGTAGATGACCTACTCTAGGCCCTGAACCTCAGCCATTCTGAAAGTAAACGATTGTCCTTCAAATTATGCTGTATAGTAGTATAGTACAGTGTAATGTATAGTCTAAATGAAGTAATCTTCTGCAAAATCCATAAGAGGTCTGTTTGTCTCCTCTTCTCCACACCTGGCCTGGCAGCGGCATTTGTGTGGGAGGTTGCATCACCTACAGTCTTTTGTGAGGCTCATCATGTTGTTATGGCTTCTCACCTTTATCAGACATATTCTTATTTCAACCTAAGATGTTTGGTTGTTGACCCTCATCTTTGTGAACTGAGATAATGGTTGCAGGTTGGGCAAGCCGCATGAGAATGAAGAAACCATAAGCTTGCTTTTCAACAAGTACAATTAATCAGACAGTTTCAGGCAATCATTGCAACCTGCACAACTTTGCCATTTGTTTATAGTTTATATCTTTGTTCAGATGTTGGGGGGAGGGGGTCCCTTTTTTTGCACTTTTTAAACTAAACCTCTTCCATGCATGAGAAAAAAGAAGATTAGAATAAACAAAGTTATAAGAGTTCCGTTGGTTATGTTACACAACAAAATTGTCTTTTGTTTAAGAAAAAAACTCAAGTTTTTTATTTACAGGTCAATTATTTCATATTATTTGTTTGTAGCCAAACATGTAATATTTTAGTTTATGGTATAAATAATTTTAAACCTGCTGTAAGATATAATTTGCAGGCCCAGGCACTAATTTCATTTTAATTCAACTGATTTTTTTAGTTACTGTATTCACATATCAGTTGTTTTGTTCCATCAAGTTACAGGATGTAAAGATTCAAAGTAATCTGACTAAAATAACACAGTTACAAAAAAGAAACAAACATAAAATCCTTATTTTCCAGCTTTTGAGTGAGGGGGAGATCGTGGCTCAAGAGTTGGCAGTTCGTCTTGTAACCGGAAGGTTGCTGGTTTGAGCCCCGGCTCCGACAGTCTCGGTCGTTGTGTCCATAAAGACCAAGACACTTCGCCCGTTGCCTACTGGTGGTGGTCAGAGGGCAGGGTGGCTGTGGCTACAATGTAGCTTGCCATCACCCAGGAGCGTTTTTTGATACGGGCGACACGGGCGGTTGCCCGGGGCGGGGCAGAATGATATGACAGAAAATCATATCATATGCAATAACTTTGCAACACAACAAATCAGCTTGTCAAAACATAGCACAGAGAGCACACAATGACAGAGATGGTGAAAATAAAGGAAATCTCCTGTCAATTATGGAACTACGAGCAAAGCACGATCCTGCTGTAAGGAAAAAAATGACAAGTCAGAGAAATGTCACATACCTTGGACATGCTGCACAAAATGAAATAATGGATTGCCTGGCTGAAATGGGCCTTTCCTCAATAATTAGTGAAGTTACACAAAGTGAGGCTTTTATTATAATGGTGGATGT